AGTCAAGGATCACCTTTATCTTTTCCCATGTGTACCCCTCACTTGTACTGTTATTGACTTTGTACTGAACAAAAGTAACATACTTGCTTTTTAACTTTTAATACATATATTTGAAAAGGGAACATGAGATCATTCTCATAAACAGAAAGTCTGTATCATGTTCTATAAATGGTAGGTAATGGTAAAAATAAATACATGGAAAATACAACATTGTTATTCAGTTTCAGCTAGATACTGTCACCACCTGAAGGCTGGGCATCTTTGTTGAAAAGGAAGATCAACAAGTGCTGTAGAGGGGTTAAGCAGATGCTAACCTCTGATCGAGACTTTCTCCTTGATGAATTCAAGGGGGAATTCTCTCCCCATGGTATTAACTTGCCTGAGCAACTCTTCAAATGGTCTCATGGACCACTGATGGTTGTTGCCCACTTTGTGGAAAATGCTGCCTTAGCAGCCTCTGCCTGCTCCAAGATCCTGTGGCCAGCTGCCCGCCTGGACTTGATCACTGTTGCCCAGGCTTGACCACTGCTGCCCGCCCCACGCCCACCATACACTGTATTCCAGACCGACCAGGCCTGGGCAGCTACTTCAGCTCAGTGGATGAGCTTGGTTCTAGGTCCAGGCATCTCAGGGAGTTAAAATAGAGAGAAAGATGCAAGAACTCACCTTCTGAGCCCCTTCCTGAGTGACAGACACTGCAAAAGATGTTTTACGTAGATTCTCTCAATTTTTCCCATATTTCAGTCATTCATGTACCACCTTCTTGATTTCTGCTATATGAGTACTATTCATTTACTTGGTCTTTTTCTTTAAATTGATTTGCTTTTAAAAAAGCATAGAATTTTATTTTAAAGTGAAATGCTATATTATTTTCATAAATCACAGAGTTTTGTGTGCCAGTTATAGTTTTCTAACATGCATCAATTGTGAGCTATTAAAATAATAATGTTCATCCATGTACCACAGAAAATCATCGTGCACACCATCAATCACACACGTGCCAGCCTTGGGGAAATACTGGAGCATCTTAGGGAATGTTTACACGTCCCTGGGAGGATGGTTTATAGGTAAGAACGCGGCGGCTCAGAAGGCTCCCTGCCCGAAGTCCCACAGGTAGAAAGGCTTGGGGCTGAGATTTCGGTCAGACAGCCTCACTCTAAACGCCTAGGCTCTTTCAACACTAGTGCTCTCCAAATGCATTTTTTTAAACTGAAAAAATCCTTTAAAAATGAAAATGTGTGTGAAAATCCAATACATAAAATAGATAAAACTGGAACTTTTAAAATTTAAATGGTGTTGTTGGGTTCAGAGCTTCTTTTTGGGGGGACTTCTCTTGTCCAAACCCATTGTGTAACAGCCCTTGAGAACTCATCTCAGACACCTGAGACTCTGAGGAACATTATTTTAAACCCACATGGCACCACCCTGTCTCTTGACTCCATTTAGTCCAATTTTTCCTGTGAGCCAAACTCCTGAGGGCCAACTTCTGGGTCTGTTATCCTTTCTGGTTGGGCTTCTCCATCTTGGACCTTTGCCATCTTGAAATCTTCAAATTTTCCATCTTGCCGTCTTGAAATCTTCCACTGGCATTGTAAGCCTTACTCTGACCTAATTATTCGTTCATTGAACACTGAGGTCTAACCTATACCCAGATTTTTAGAGGGCACCAGGGGGGGACTGAAAGGAACAGATACAGTGCCTTTGAAGGATTCCCAAGCCAACACAGGAGACACACACACAAACGCAGCCAAATACAATGAGGGTTTGAGCAGCCACTGCCCCCTGAATCTCTCAGTCCCTGCCTCTCTCAGGGGCCTGGTTGTATCCTGTGATAGGCAGGCCTGACACAGGGGCAGCTGAGGGACCCTGGTGATACTGGCCACCCTCCATTTTGTGGGGCCAGGTGTCCTGTCTGATTTCCCACTCTGGTTCCTGGGTCACTGTTTTCTTCAGCAACCACTGCCTGATGAAAGTCTGGAGTTAGAGTCATACCTACTCAGAACCCCCAACCTTCACTCCAATAAAAGGACCAATTTACAACTGTGCCGGCATCTGCAGTATGAAGTTCTTCCTGACTCCTGGCCTCAGCTTGCCTTCTCCCCTCATGGCGGAGTCTACTTGACCCCTCAAATCTAGAGATCATCTTCCACTGAAATGAGCACCCCCGAAGGACTCTTCTCTGCCAGGAAGAGAAGAATATGTTGCTCTAAAAGTATGGAAAGATCCTGGCTGAGTTCCAAGAAGTCTTAAAGATTCTTAAAGGACATGCCCAAAGCTTTGTGGTGCCTCCGACTAAGCCAACACTGCTACCCTTTTCTCTCAGTCCTGGCTATGGCCCTGGTCCCCCCTGAGATGCCTCCATCTTTGGAAGGCACTGAGAGTCTGCAGAACGTCACTCTTGAGGTCTCCCCTGTGCTGTGGGACCTTAGTTTGGGGCTAAGCTCAAGTTCCAGGAAGCTTCTCCCTCGGTAGGCCCTGGAGTTGGGTCTATTAGCAAATTCTAAATAACTCAAGTCGATTCAAGCCAAGTCAAGTCAACTCAACTCGACATATACTTTCTGTGTCTCTCTTTGCTGATTCCATACTAGCCTGAGCCAGGCTCTGGCCAGGGAAAGTGAAACTCTAACAGTTAACAAGCCACAATCTTTACTCTCAAGGAGTTTTCTGTTTTGCACTTAGATTCCAGACTCAAAGTTTTCCTTGAGCTGAGGGAATCCCTTGCACAAGGGGCTGGAGAAAGTGCTTCCCCTTCTGACCTGCACCTGACCCCCACCAGCAGCCTAACCCCAGGGGTCTGCTCGCTAAGACTTCTTAAACTACCCTCCCGGGACGGGACGACTCCAAGACCAGACCGCAGAGCCTGTTGGGCCCTCACTCTTCAGGATCCAGTTCCTGTGGGTCCTGAGTCATTCATTCATTCACAAATGGACATTGAGCACTTCCTTTGTGCCAGACACCTTACAGACTTTATGCCATTTAATTCTCACAGCAGTCAGGATGGACGCAGAACCAGTGCGCGGCCAGCTAGAATTTCGCCCAGCCCTGATTCCAAGGCCCGTGCTCTTTCTGTCTCATCCCACCAACTCTTAGAACAATTGAACAGAATCCATAATAAGGGATAGAGATCACCAAATGCTTAAACACATCCTATGTGGAGGGAAAGAGTGAATTAATGAATATTTTATGTAAGGCGTAATCCCACCTGACCAGTTTATTGGAATTCTTTGAAGAGTGAACCACACAGGGAGATAAAGGGTGATGGCACAAAAAGCCTTTGTCAAGTTTTTATCCCAAAGCCTATTAATAAAATCGATTCATTATAGGATTGGGCAGGGGTGGGTGGGGAGTGGGAGGGAGTCTATTTTTGCCTGGATAGAAAACTCTCTTAGAGACAAGAAAGAGAGGGTGGAGAGAAATGGGTGCTTTTTCAAATGAAGAACTAGGGTTCCCCAGGAATTGGTACTGGGTCAGGTCTCCTGTGACACCCAGTGCACATGCATTGAGCGCCCAGTGTGTGCAGGCCTGCAGTAAGCATGAGGGATACCCGAACAAGTCAGACTCAGCTCCCCTCCTGGAGGAGGACAAGGAAGGAAGAGCTCAGGGACATCTCCAAGTTTTCAGAGGACGGGAAGCTCCTGAGGGGCTGAAAGCCCAAGACATTGGAGGTAAGATGGAAAAAGGTGGCTGCGGGATTGGAAAGAGCCCCAGACAGCAATCAGAAGATTGGAGCTTTAGGACCAGCTCTGTCACTGACTTGCTGTGAGACACTGGGCAAGTCGCTTCCCTCTCTGGGCCCCAGTTTTCTGCCCTATACAATGAAGGGATTGGACTACATGATCTGTAAGGGCGCGGTGCTCTGGATGGAGGAAAATGACTTGAAACAGGACCTGGTTATGAGAAAGTCTCCATTTCCTGTGGCCAATATGTCCCCTTCTGTCCCTGCACTGCGACGGGGGACATCTCTGTCTCTCTCATTTGTGAACGGTGAGGATGAGGCAGAGAGCCATGAGGTCTGTGATGCTGGGGCTCCGAGCCCAGCCTGGAATCCCTCAGTGGCATTCGCTGTGGGTGACTCAGCATCATAAATAGCTCCCATCTGGATGAGCAATGATATCTATAGCGATCGAGCGATCTCTATGTTCACACACACTCTCTCTGTGCAAATATGTGGCTCACTGTATGCTAAATACGAGGTGGCCTGGAGACGTTCCTCCTCTTAAAAGACTATTTGGTATGAAACTCAAGACTATTTATTTAAAGAAACAAGTTTACAACTATGCACGTCGGATTACTGGAAGTGGGTGCTGGGGAAGAGGCCATGTGGATGAAGGGATGCTGGGTCCGATCTGAGCTTGGGGGCGCCCTGGAAGAGCTACCCCTTCTTCCTTCTGTTTGTAGCAGGAGGGGGCAACGGACACCACACACCTGAGATGCTTGAGATCCCGGGGTGGGAAAATGCTTATCAGCACAGAAAGCCACAGTTTGCAGAAAGAGCATAGGAACTGGGAGTCACAAGAGAGCCAGGTTCCAACCTTGCTCTGCCCTGCCATTGACCTTGAGCAGTTCATTAATTTACTCATTCATTCATCAAACATGCACCAAGCACCTACAATATTCCTAGGCCACTTGAGGATACAGACAAGAAAAAGGAGGTTGGAATTCAGGCTTAGCCACCTACCAGCCATTTGTTTTCAGGCAAATCCGTTTCTCTCTCTGAGCTTCAGTTTTCTCATCTGTTAGCTGGGAACAATAATACCCACCTAAGGTTTCTGGGGGGAGTATGAATGAATAAGATAACACACAGGAAAGTCCTTCTCTGTTGTCAATGGCTCTGAAAACGCAAGCTAACACCCTTCCACCATATTGCCCAATCGATCCATCTCATTCCCACTTAGGAGCGTCCTTGGCGATCATGGGAGGGGAAATGTCATCATGACCCCCCAGGAGTGAGGGGAAACTCTGAACACCACCCATGGGTGTGATCCTGGGCGTCACCTTACCTTTGCTTCCTGGCCGAGCTGGGATGTAGGGGCCTTCAGTCAATGAGCAGAGCAGACGGTGTGCCAGAGACGCACAGCTTCCTGGAGGAGGGGAGAAGGTGTTGAGGAGTGAGAGGAGAGAGCTTCTAGAGGAGCTGGCTTCCTGAGCGGGCACTGAACCCCAGACTCCACTGAAGGCTGAGGTCACCACTGATCCTCTGGGTTCCAGCAAAGGGCCTGGCATCTGGCCCAACCCCTGGCCCCACCTCACTTACTCTCCTGATAGCAGCTGCCCATCACGGCCCCTGGTTCAGGCAACATTCTTTTGGTACCACTGACCACACTGCTTTTTGGCTTAAATGTGCTTTCTGACCTGTGTCAATGAACAGGATTTACTGTCAGTCATATCTGGGTTTGAATTCCGGGTTTGGGGAAATCCATTACACCGCTCTGAGCCTCAGTTTCCTCATGTGCACAATGGGGCCACTAATAGCACCAGCCTCACCTATTAAGCACCGTGTAAGTGCTCGTTACTATTATTGTCATGGTGTTAAAGAAGATCATGTCTGTGAAGATATCTGTCACATTGTAGCCCCTCAAATTTTAGTTACCTTCTCTGCTTTCTCCCAGGAGGCACCAGCATTCCTTAAAAGGCAAAGGTTGGGTCTGACATGGCTGTTTCTAGAGTCTTGCACAAGGCCTGGTAGAAGGTGGGTACCCAGGAAATATTTATTGACTGAGCCAGGCTTGGAGAATTTGCTAGATTTGCATTCACATAGTCATGATTAGTGAGGCTGCTGTTGCACTCCCGTTTCATAGATGAGAGCACGTGCAGAGAGGGGAAATGATCGCTCAGCGTCCCACAGAGGCGAGAGCGGAGCCGGATCAGAGCCCACAGTCCTCAACCTGCCTACCCCGCTGACTGCAGGGCCCTCCTGGTTGGATGCCAAGGCCTCGACCACAGCAGGGCCTGTCGCCTCCTCGATCATCTCTTCCTTCAACAACCATAGTCTTGCTCACCGTGCCTCAAGGAAGCTGAGATTATTGTGTCATTTAGAGAGGGGGGTGCTGAGGATTTGGCCCAGATCACAGAGATGGTTTAGGGAAAGCGGGGATTCCAACAGATCAGCCGACTCAGGGTCCTTTACGTGACCCAGTCTTCTGGGACCCCCTGGGTAGCGCCTAACCCTGGCTCTTGGCTGCTCCATGGCACTATTCGCTCCTGACACAATCTCCTCCCCCTGGTCCCTCCGCTACAACAGGAGCTCAGAGAGGCAGGGCCCCACCGATTCCCCAGAGCCTGGTGCTTAGCAGAACATGACAAATATCTGCTGAGTGAGTGAATGAGTGAGTAAATAAGTGGCTGAGTGACTGTGCCAGACCATGTTCTATGCTGGTGACAGTGAAAAGGGCAGGCAGGCTCCCTGTGCTCAGGGAGCCAACTATATTTGAGTTTAAAACTAGCAACTGGACTGGAAACAGGGCAGATGTGATTGTTTCCTGACTGGCTGGGCGGGCACCTGGGGGAGGGTGTGCATGCGGGTGGAGCCTGTGGACCACCGGGGAGTGGGCATCTAGAGCAAATGTGCCTGCTACCACCCCGGCCTCAGGCAGGGCCACCTGGGAGCGGGGTCGGGAGGCTGACCTTTAAGAAGGCAAGGAAAGAAAAGAGTGGTGCGAGGAAGTCTTTAACGTCTACCTTCTGCTGAGCCCCAAGAGCCAGTGCATCGCCTGGCACATAGTAGGTACTTAATAGATTTTGTTCAGGGAATGCAGGTGGGCAGTGAACATGGCAGACTCAAGTCTAGAGGCTTGTGGGAATCAGGGTGTTAACATCAGAGTGATGACGACGTGCACCCGAATGGAGCCCACTGTTTGCAGAGCCCTTACTCACACCGGTTCTCATTCTCACCGTGCAGGTGAGGGACATTCTGCACACATGTACTGGGGAGCACCCTGGGTTGGGCACTGGTGGCCTCAACAGAAACGATGGCACGGCAGTGCTTTCAGTGCCTCTGCGGCGCGCCGAGCCCTTCACACCTACAGTCTCTAGTACCCGACTAGCCTGGCAGGGCCAAGGTCATGGTCCTCGCCACACAGAGGAGCACGGAGGCTCGGAGATGTCTTGATCTGGCACACATGGAACCAGGTCTTACTCGAGGAGTGAAATGTAAAAATCTCACAGCCTAATGGGGCCACAAAGGTGAAGGCAGATAGTGAAAACATGACGTGGCATCCACGAGAATGTGGGTCTCTCCAGGGTGTCTCACTGCCAGGAGGCAGCAGGGAGGGCTTCCCTGAGCAGGTGAGTCTCAGGTGGGGGCTGAGAGGGCAGTGGAGCGGGAAGGGCTTTCCAGGTAAAAGGAACAGCATCTGCAAAGGCGTGGAGGGAGGGAGCACGTCTATGCAGGAACTCGGAGGAATTTGGTTCGGCTGGAGCCTTGGGGACAAAGATGAGGCTGGGAGGTTGTCGGGGCTGTTATGAGGGACTTTAGCAGAGTGTGGGCTTCCCCCTGAGAGTGATGGGGGGCACTGCAGGGCTTGGCTTCGTGCCCTGGAGAGCCCCTTCTGGAGGCAGGGATGGGGGAGGCAGGAGGAGGACTAGGAGCTGTGCTTGGTGAGGTGTGGGGTAGAGGGTGGGCTGGTTTGGGTGGAGTATGGAGATGCGGGGTCTGTGAGAGTCAACCCTCCATTGGCTGACCCCCTAGTGGAGTTGGAGGCCCTCCCCCAGGCCCTAAGAAGATCACTGTGGCAGGTCCCTGTCTCTGCCCAGTCCTGGCCCCAGCCAAGGCCTCCTCTGCCACCTGGCTGCTCCCAAACTGTGTCCTAGCAACCTCACAGCCCGCACCTTGGCAACGCCGGCTCTGCAGGCTCCTCCTCTGCTTGGGCTGCAAGGGAAGGTGGAGCTGGGATGCATCCTGTCTGTAGACCCGCCCTGAGAGCCAGCCTGGGCTCCCGCAGCCTGTGCCCCTGGGCTCATCTGGTAGAGGCTGGCCAATCAGACGAGGGAGGTGGGTCTGGCCTGGGAGCCTGTGAGCCGACACTCTGTCTGAATGAGCTTGGATGAGTCTCTTCCCCTCCATGGGCCTCAGTTTTCCCTTCTGTGAAATATGGAGGTGGGACAGCACCCTCTCTGGAGTCTAACATTGTCTTATTCCATTCTTGATCCTTTCCAGAGTTATTGGTTGGATGCTCTGTTGCTGACACAGATTTTAGTGTCAGACTCCAGGGGTTTAAATCCTGGTTTGCTTAGACAAGTCACTCCACCTCTCTGAGCCTACATTTGTTTCTCTGTAAAATGAGTGTATCTTGTGTTGTCTCACCCAAAGAGTTATGGGAGTCAGGTGAAATGGTATAAATGGAAGTGCTTTATGAAGGGCAAAGAGCTATACAAATGCTACCTATTTTGTCCCATGGGCTGTGCTCACTGACAATTCATCAACCCTCCTGCGGCCACCCCCGCCAGCAGCTACAGCCAGCACCCCAACACTTACTGGGCGGAAGCATTGTGCTGAGAGTTTTACTCATATTATCTCATCTTATCTTCACAACAACCCCACTTGCTAATATTATTTCCATTTTCCAGATGAGCACAATGGAGGGCCTGTATGGCTATGAATAGAAAAAGCTCAGCTAGGGCCCCTGGCTTCAAAACTTGAGCATTTAAAATGCAATGCAGTGGTCACCTCAGATGTCTTCTCTCCATCCTGGGTTTTTCCTTTGGCCTAAAGTTTTCTCCAACTCGGGTTTGGTGGCACAGGGGCAGCACTATCGTTTATTGAGCATCTTCTGTGTGCCAAGTGTTACCAGCTCCTCAGACTCTCACGTGCACGCCACTCCCCGGGGGGGTCTTGTTAAAATGCAGGTTCTGATTCAGTGGGCCTGGGAGGCAGCTGGGAGTCTGCATGTCTAATCAGCTTCCAGAAGGTGCTGGTCTGTGGACCACATTTTGAGTAGCTAGGTGCTAAAGGACTTCAAGAATCATCTTACTGAATCCTGGGGTCTAAGTCTTATTAGCCCCAGGGTCACAGATGGGGAAACTGAGGCTTGAGAGGCAGTGCACCTTACTCAGGGTCCCACAGCATACAAGAGGTGTTTGAACCTAGGCCCGCTGACATTACACAGCACCCAGCTTGCAGGCCAAGCACCCCTCCTGGCTGTGTGGTCCCTGCTGGGCGTCTGTCTCCACTTCCGAGGCTGGCAGTGGTCTCAGAGGCCCCGACTAGAAACTCGTTTGTACTTTCAGTTTGTCATAAGCAGACTGGCTCTGGCTGCTGGTTCCCAGCAGGACCAGGGCCCTGGCCCAGGAGGTGTCCCACAGTTGAGTGAACGTCTCAGCGCCAGGATTAGATCCTGCATGTGTAAAACACCCCATTTGCTTCACCCTCAACCTGGCTGTTTTGGAATCTTGTGTTTATGCGAAAATTTTGATATTTTATTCATCATGGATTTTTTTGCATTGCTTTCATTTCATAAAAAAGTACTGCATAAAATGTTATATACCTTGATGGCTGAGTTTTTTTAGTGCCCTGTTACATTTTGCACCGGAAGCAGGTGCCTCCCTTCCCCCCTCACCCCAGCCCCGCTGGCCCTCGCCCTCCCACCTCAGGGCATTAGAATGCTGCCCACAAGGCGCTGTGGTGCCCACCCGGCAGCCAGCCAGCCAATGGATTTATTTCCCAGCAGGGGAATGCATCCCCTGACTTGCCCTTTGGCTGACCTGCTCTAGAGATGGCAGCAGCAACTGCGGGCCTGAAGGCGGGTTCAGGGGATCACTCTGACACGGGCTTTGCCCCATCAGGCTCCTTGCTGGTGGGTGATGAAGGGAAGAGACCCAACCGCAGTGTAGATTATGCCACCCCCTGCTTCACCCAGTCTTCAAGGTTCTGCCTGCTCTGGCCCCTGTCAACCTCTCTGCCCTCATCTCTGCCACCCTCCCCTTCGCTCACTCGGTTTCTGTCCTGTGACTTTGCCAGGCTTCTTCCTACCCCAGGACCTTTGCGCTTTCTGTCTGGACACTTACCCAGGGCCAGCTGCTTCTTCCCATCCAGATGTCAGCTTCAGTGCCTCTTCCTTCAAGTCTCCCCTGCCTGCCTTACGTA